TGGGAAATTTAGAAGAAGGGAAGCAATAAGAATGGAATATAGATTGGATGAGGTGTTGCACAACTATAATTTCAAAACTAGGGAGGATGAGGCTGGGAGTATTAAAGTTCAATCCAGGCTGGGCTAGATAGCCATACATGGACTCTAAAAAAAAACCAGAGAACCCCAAGTTAACATAGACTTGAGTTCCATGGCTTTATCTAGAGAAAATCAAAAGTGTGTACAGAGAGACAAATACATACAGAACACAATGGCTTATATGAACACAAACTCATGTGCACACAGAGACGCTTACACATTTGCAAACAGATGCAGATAAGTACAAATGCTGTCTCAGAAGTTCATGTGCACATGTGTGATTAGAACCACACATAAATGCACACTGAGGTAAAAATACAAGCAGACACATTCATCCTAATCCCAGGGTCTCCCTAAGGTGACCACAACTTCTCTTTTCCCTCTCAAAGAGCTACCCAGTTGCTAGTCAAACACTTAGCCTCCTTTCCTGGAATTCCAACACCCATTGCTAACCTGCCTACACAATACCTTGGTGTGGATCCTCCCTGTCCCACTCATAAAATGAGTGTGGGCAGCTATCTCATCACACCCTTGATTTTGAAATCCTGGCACAGGCAACAAATGAAGTCATCTATGTCTTGGTCCTAGGCACCAAGGAAAGGCAGGAGCTGGTGATGAGGCTGCAGTGGGGCTCATGTGTTCAAGGCCCCTGTGTCTCTTCTGTGCTTCTAGGGACAGGGAAGCACTAACTGAAAACTGCTTCTGGAGACCAATCCTCTGAGGAACCAGCACCTTCAGGGAAAGGAAGCAGTGAGTGAACCCTGTGGTGACCGTGGTCATCTGCTGAGTGCTGGACTAATTGTACATGTTTGTGTAACAATCATGCGTGTGACAAAATGTGTCACATGTTTGTAATTGGTCAATCCCAGTCTCTGTCCATGTGTAATTCAAGCAGTAGTGCTGCTTAAAAAAGTGGTGCCCTACTACTGCCTGGACTCCATCTGGTTTCAGTGGGACATGAAGTACAAGAATTACCTAGCACCCAGCATCCACACCACCATCAGTCAGTTTGACACCATGGTTTCCTCTGTCATCACCACCTCCCTGGGAGATCAGAGCATGAAGGACTCAGATCAAGCCTTGGTGGTGGAACACTGGACTGAGGTAGCCAGGGTATTCTGCAAAAGGACTAGCCAAGAAGGCTACCACAATAAGATCTGCACAATCCCTCAAGTGTCTCCAAAAGATTAAAAATCTCTCAGGTTGCTGTTAGCTAGGACTCATTTCAGGACAATTTCTCACACTTGGCTCTCAAAGTCAGATTTATACTTAATATTCAAATCAACTCTATTCAATAGTCTAGGGCTTACTTTAGTGCTGAATAGGACAACACATACAAGGAAACAAGTTAAGGGGAGGACATGATACATGCTGTATTATTTACAATTTAAAAAATAAACACTACATTCCTATAGTTCCTTTTGGATACGTATTTGCCAAATGCATGGAAGCTATTTTACTTTACCTGCCAATCTTTGAAGTAGAATCACCCAGGGTAGTTAGTTGTGCATTTCTCTTCAGGTGACCATAAATCAGCACTATCATATTAAAAACAAAAATAAAACAAAAATACATGGAAACAAGTTAAGGGGAGGACATGATACATTGTGTATTATTTACAATTTAAAAAATAAACACTACATTCCTATAGTTTCTTTTGGATACGTATTTGCCAAATGCATGGATGCTGTTTTACTTTACCTGCCAGTCTTTGAAGTAGAATCACCCAGGGTAGTTAGTTGTGCATTTCTCTTCAGGTGACCCTAAATCAGCACTATCATATTAAAAACAAAAATAAAACAAAAATACATTGTTAACCGCATGACCTATTTTCTGAACACACAAGACATTTTCATTGGAAAATAACTAGAAAACAAAGAAATGCAAACAGCAAAAAAATAAAAAACCCAACATGTTCCTTACTCTACATTCTATTTTTAACACTTTGTGTACTTCTGCTTCATTTTGTATGTAAACGTATAAATTTTAAAATGCAATCTGTGTGGGGTGGTTTCAAGTCACAGAGTGCCTGCCTAGCAAGTGCAAGGTCCTTAGTTCAAACTCCAGTCCTGTAAAAAGACAAAACAAAACCACAATTTAGACAACCCTAATCTTTTTCCCAATCATCATCACATTCTTTTAGTACATTACTTGACTGCTGTACCACACATTCCATAGATCCATAATTCATTTGTAGTCGCCCACTGCACTGTAGGTAAACGAGTAGCACAGAATTAAGCAGGAGGCCTTTCTCCTTATTTTTGCTCCCACACAAGTGCTCTGCTCCAGCAGCCATCTCAGGGCTCTTTCATGGCAGATGGACCATAAGTCCCACTGGGATATTCATTTTTGTGTGATGCTGGATCACACGCAGGACCTCATGAGTGCTGGCAAGCACTCTACCACTAAGCTATACACTCCTAAATGTTTCCCGTTTTTAAAGTTTCCAAAGTAATCATTTCTCCTTGAAAAATTAACTTGAGAATTTTAACCCTAAAAGCTCTAATGCAGTGGCACATGCTTATAATCCCAGCTTCTGTTATGAATAGATGGAAGGTTTGTGTTTTGAGGTCAGCCCAAGCAAGAGTTACAGAGACTCTATATCTAAAAACAAGTCAGGTGTGGTGGATCAATCCTATAATCCCAAATACTTGGGATCATCTCCATCTGAGGCCAGTCCAATCCAAAGATGGGGTGGGGGAGAGAGAGAAAAGAGAGAGAGAGAGAGAGAGAGAGAGAGAGAGAGAGAGAGAGAGAGAAGTGCAAGATCCTATCTCAAAAACAATGTAAAAGCAAAAGGACCAGTGGTGTGGCTCAAGTGAAGTGGTAGCATGCTTGCCTAGTTAGCACATGGCCCTGAGTACCAACCACAAAATAAGAACAAAATTACAAGACAAAAGCTGCAATGGTTCTTATACTGTCTTGTTCTAAAGTCTCATGCATAATTACTCTTATGCCTCTCATATGGATATCTTCCCCTTATGTCTTTGAATGACACTAGCATTAACAGTTAAAATCAGTATAAGCAACTCAGGAGCATTTATTGAAATTTAAATATATACAACTTTAATATTCAGCAATACAACATACAACAGTCATGACAAAGGAGGGGAAAGTCTACATGACCATACAAGGTTGTGCAAACAGAAAATAAACATATTTTACTAGCTTAAAGTACACACATGCAAATGCACTGAATTCTATTTCTATGAGGTCTGGGGTTAAAGAGAGTCAGACTTGAGAGGGGATTCAGCTGAACTTGCAATGTGTGAATTTGCTAACAGCACATTACTTGATAATTTGAAATAAATGAAGTGAATATATAAAATGGATAACAATATAAAGAAATAGCGATTAAATCCATGGAGGTCAAACCTTACCTGTGCAAAAAGTTCTCTTTTGCTAGTTGAATTTGTAGTATTCCACCCTTCCACTTCATTTAAAAATATTAAATAATATTTTTGCAGCACACATGTTTTCTAAATATTTAGTAACAGCAGAAATAGACTTCTTTATCACAGAGACATCTAAAAAGTAGAAGAGCCAGCTCTGGTTATTCATTCCTATAATCACAGCTACTCAGGAGGGGACAGCAAGAAATACTGTGGCTTACTGCACAAGCAGGAAATCAAGTTGCTTTGGACAAGGATGTCGTTGGAGGCCTTGCAGACAGACAAGTGAGGTGGAATTTTCAAGGGATGAGCGCCTGGGTTCCTGGAGATGTGGCCATGGTGCAGGGCTAGGGCCAGCTGAGGGTCCACGCTCTCCTCCTGCATGCGTGGTACCAGCCGCCGGGGGCGAGCAGGGCCCCAGTCCTGAAGTCTCAGGCTGCTGCCAGCATTCTCAGCGCCGGGCAGGGGCATAACGTGTACTAGAGAATGAGATAAGTAAACACTCAACTTTGTTCACTGCAATGTGGCTGCTGGCAGGAGGGCGGCAGGGGGCGCCCTGGAGCAGCGCCTACTCTGGAAGCTCGAGAAGGGCAGGGCCTCCACACGGACTCCATGCCCACTGGCAGGCCTTGGCTTGCTGTGTTGTCCCCACAGCCAGGCAGCGCTCGCCCCACAAGCCCAGGCAGTCTCAGAAAGTGGGCAAGGTGATCAGCGTGGGGTGACAGCACTCCGGAGCACGGCTTGGCAATGGTAGGTCCCTCTTCCTATCTGAGGAGCGTCCTCTTGGCCCGGGCGGTGGGGACGGGTCGGGAAGTGGGGGGGGCGGGATATGGGAGGTGGTAGGGTCAGGCAGGACATTGAGTCAGGTCAGGTTGCAGGGTCAGGCAGGAGGTGCGTCGGGCTGCCGGCATGGGTGGGGGGTGGTCAGGCAGTGGGTCTGGCTGCAGGCAGCAGGGTCAGGCGGGAAGTGAGTCAGGCTGCGGACGGCGGGGGTCAGGAGGGAGGTGCGTCGGGCTGCGGACGGCGGGGGTTAGGCCTGCAGTGCGTCGGGTTGCCGGGGTCAGCGGGCGGTGTGGTCAGGTGGGAGGTGCGTCGGGCTGCAGGCCACGGGGGTTAGACAGGAGGTGTGTCTGGCTGCACGCGGCGGGGGTCAGGTGGGAGGTGCTTCGGGATGAGCGCGGCGGGGGTCAGGCGGGAGGTATGTCGGGCTGCGAGAGGCGGGGGTCAGGTGGGATGTGCTTCGGGATGCTGGCGCTGTGGGTCAGGCTGGAGGTACCGGGCTGCGGGTGGCGGGGTCAGGCTTGCGGTGCGTCGGGTTGTGAGCAGCGGGGTCAGGCGAGCGGTTCATCAGGCGCGGGGTGGGGGTGTGGGGGTTTCAGGCGTGCAGTGCTTCAGGCGGCGGGGGTCAGGTCGGAGGTGGTCGGACTGCAGGCATAGTAGGTTAGGCGGGAGGTGCTGCTGGCGGCGGGGTCAGGCATGCGGTGCTTCCGGCGGCGGGGGTCAGGCTGGAGGTTCTGTGGGCGGCGGGCATCAGGCATGCAGTGTGTCGGGTTGTGGGCGGCGAGGTCGGGCGTGAGGTGCATCGGGTTGTGGGCGGCGGGGGGTCAGGCTGGAGGTGCTGCGGGCAGCGGGGATCAGGCGTGCGGTGTGTCGGGTTGTGGGCGGCAGGGTCAGGCGAGCGGTGAATCGGCTGGCTAGGTCAGGAATGCGGTGCTTCTGGCGGCGGGGGTCAGGCGGGAGGTGGTCGGGCTGCAGGCGGCGGGGGTCAGGCGGGAGGTACTTAAGGATGTGCGCGGCAGGGGTCAGGCGTGCAGTGTTTCCGGCGGCGGGGGTCAGGCGTGCGGTGCGTCGTGTTGTGGGCGACGCGGTCAGGCGAGCGGTGCAGCGGGGGTCAGGCGGGAGGTGGTTGGGCTGCAGGCGGCGTGGGTCAGGCGGGAGGTGCGTCAGGATGCTAGTGGCGGGGGTCAGGCGTGCAGTGCGTGGGGTTATGGTTGGCGAGGTCAGGCGAGTGGTGCATCGGGCGGCGGGGTCAGGCGTGCGGTGCGTCCTGCGGCGGGGGTCAGGTGGGAAGTTCACAGGGCTGCGGGCATCTGGGGTCAGGCAGTGCGTTGGGCTGCGTGTGGCGGGAGTCAGGCAGGAGGTGCTTCTGAATGAGCGCGGCGGGGGTCAGGCTTGAGGTGCGTGGGGATGCATGTGGCCTGGGTTAGGCGGGAGGTGCACCGGGATGGGGGCGGCGGGATCGACGTGCGGTGGGTCAGGTTGTGAGCAGCGGGGTCAGGCGAGAGGTGCATCGGGCGGCGGGGGTCAGGCGTGCTGGTGCGTCCTACGGCAGAGGTCAGGCGGGGGTCAGGCGGGAGGTGGTCCGACTGCAGGCAGCGTAGGTCAGGCGGGAGGCGCGCCAGGATGCGGGCGGAGGGAGTCAGGCCTGTGGTGCGTAGGTCTGTGGGTGGTGCATCCATCGGGCTGTGAGCGGCGTCGCTCAGGCGTGCGGTGTGTCGGGTTTTGGGGGTCAGCTTGCAGTGCATCTAGTTGTGGGCAGCTGGGGACAGGCGTGTGGTGTGTCCGGGTTCTGGGGTCAGCGTGCCCTCCGTTGGGTTGCAGGCGGCATTGGTCAGCAGGCAGTGCGTTGGGGAGGGGGGGTCAGGCGTGCAGTACCTTGGACACGGGGTGGGCGTCGCTGGGGTCCGGCCCCAGACCCCGGAGGAAGCACAGCCATGGATAACCTTGGAGTAGCACTGGGTAGAGAGCTGGTGGTCTTGGTGCAGAAGAAGCCACAGAGCTCTGACTTGAAGCTTACGAACTCTGTGCTCTGGGGCAGGAACAGTTGGAAGGTGTTGCCCCGCCCTTGGTGCTCTTGGCTGGTGACAGGGGAAAGCAAGTCACACCTTCTCCTCCTGCCCTGAAGCCACTGCCTCTCCCCCCAGAACTGGTCTGAGGCTCAATGAGCCCTGGCAAGGCTCCTGCTGCACTGCTGTCCTGGAGAGCAGCTCTGCGACCAGGGCTACTGTGTGTGCTTGTAGATGCTGTTTTGAGACCAGGTTTGTCACTGTTGTTTCCCAGGGCTACAAATACAGTACTATGATTTGGGGGGGGGGGTTGGTTGAAAGTAGAAATTATGGTATAGGTCACATTGGTTTTCAGAAAATTCTGAGGTTGAATGTGGAGAGATTATGAGGAACAAAATGAGAATGTTTTTAGGAAAATTGTGTATTATCTGAAATAATTATTAGTAGTTGGAATAACTGTAATATTTGCTTTTTCACAGAATCATTTCAGAAAAATCTGCAGATCATATTCTGTGGGATGGATTCTTCTGAGACTTGAGAAGTCAGCGTGGACATTTAAAAAAGAACTGTCATTTCTAAGTATGCTGACTGCTTTCAGTGCGAGAAATTCCTTCAGGAAGATAAGGACTACCAAACTCTGAGAGGACAGAAAGGGTGAGCATTGTTTCAGTCCAGAAGAAGTTTTGAAGCTCACTGTATTATGCACAGGAACTTGGTTGTCAATGTTGATTTAGGATTCTGCAAGTTCACTGTCATGGTGTACTTGTAAACGAAGGCATCTTTTGCACATCACATTTGCTCAATACTTTTTTTGTGGCACGAGGGTGCGAATTCAGGCTTTGTGTCTGCTAGGGAGGCTCTCTAACTCTGAAACCACATTCCAGCTTAACACTCTTAAAAGTGCCTAAGGTAAATATTACAGCACAGTGTCTTTAAGAACCTTTCTAGTCAAGTAAGTGGTATGGGATTTTTGTGTTTTAACACAGCTTTATTTATTCTTTTAAGTATTGGGAATTGAATCTAGGGCTTCATGCATGCTAGGCAAGTGCTCTACCACTTGAACCCTGCCACCAGCTTAATTTTGATTTTTTGAGACATGAGCTTGCTGTGTACCAGGCTGGCCTCCTACCTCAGCTGCCCAATTGCTGACATTATAGGTATGCGCCATTAAACCCAGATTTTAATTAATAAGTCTTACAATTTGTTGCTCACTCACATGAAAGCTGTCTCACTGTAATGCACTATCATTACCTATAGTCAATAAATGTTCAGCCACTGAAGCTTTTTCCAGAAGGAAGATATCTGTCTTAAAGAGAAGTTTTATGCCAAATGTCTATGGTGCTCTGACAGATAAGAGATAGCTAATTTAACCTTGCAACTGGATAACTAGATATTTAGGAACTTTGGTTGGACAAGAATTACAATCTTTGAGCAGAAATCATTTTTGGAAGTGGTTTCTGATTTTTCTACTGAAATAATTAGGAAAGGGAGAGGCAGCTCACTGCAGGGATATTTTGAATTATTTATAGAGATGGAGTGATGGAATTTAGAGACCTTAATTACTTGAAAGGAAGAGATGGGTGCTGAATGTACAGAGAGTATAGACTGGTGGAGTGGCTCAAGCAGTTAGAGTGCTGACTACCATGCATGAGGCCCTGAGTTCAAATTTCATTACCACTGCAAAAAGAAATAGAGTGAGCTAGCCAGATGTAAAAGTTCAGGGTCTTAAAAAAACTCCTGTAGCTAGAAAGGAGATTTCAGACAAAGATATTTCAAAAGATGAAATACTTTTCTTCTCTATGAGTAGTATACTTATTTAGCAAACTTGGAAAAGAATAAAAATTATAATAAAAATATATATACACACTCACATACTTTTTTCCCCTCTGTGCTGAGGATTAAACCCAGGACCTTTGCACATACTGGGCAAGTGTTCTACACTGAGCTACATCTTGACCCAAGAAGTAGATTTTAAAGCCATCAATCAAAATAGTTGTGAGAATGATTAGTGATATAATTTGGCAAGAGGAATGGTACTGGAAGAGAAGCATTTTGAGCAGTAAAAGAATGCAGTCTGATGCAAGTACGCAAGTGAATCTAGATGTGAATAAACTGATTATACAGTTTTTTGTATCACTGGTTTTCAGACTTTCTTTTCTTTTTTCACAAAAAAAGCCTGCCCTTTAAAAATACTTAGATGATATCACAAAAAGCAGAACAGCTGATGAGCTTCACAGCATAAAAATGCCTGAGAGCCCTGACATTGAAGATTATATTCACCTGGGTTATGCTTTGTTACAAAATATAAAAAAGATTGGCAGGTAAAAGTGACTGTTCCTGAGGCCAAGTGATACAGCATTGTTCAAAATGGTATTTATAATTCTATTTTTTGACAGCTTTTTGACATACTGAGCAAATTGACAGACAAAAAGCTTGATCTGGATTTGATGTCATCACATGTTTACTTAATCAACAAATTCATATTGTGTCTGCCTAGTCACTGGGTCAGGTGCTGTTGGAAAGTCAATAATTTGAAGTCATCTCTTTCAATTGACATAATTGTGCTGTTACAGTTCCTCTGGATTATTAATGAATACATTAGAAGCCAGTCAATCAATAGTAGTATTTGAGGAATGTATCCTTTGAGGCAGTTATGTTTTCATTTCTCCAAACATTGTTAGAATTGTTTTGAAATTTCCTTTAGTGCACATGATCATTGTTTTGAGTATCCTCAGTTTTGTTTCCTAATGAGTTGGTTTACAAAATAATGAGTTTGAAATTCAAAATTAAGTGTACCTTCATCTATTAACAATGTAAGAATAGTTTTTCATTTAATTTTTGTTTTTTTTCCAGTGCTGGGGATTGAACCCAGTTCCTTGACTATGCTAGGCAAATAATGCATTCTCAGATTCTGTTCTTTTTAAAAATTTTGGTAATAATGGTGTTTGAAGTCAGGGTCTCTTACTTGCTTGGTAGGTGCTCTACCACTTGAGCCATACCCGTAGTTTTTTCTTTTAGTTATTTTTCAGATATGGTCTTTTGAGTTTTTACCCAGGGTGGGCCCTCAGACCTGGATCCTCCTCCCTATGCCACGTCACACAGATTGGATTATTTTGGGGGTGGTGGGACTTGGGACACAGATAAGAATACAGGCACACAATAACATGCTCAGCTTACTGGTTGAGATGGGGTCTTGCTAACTTTGGGGATTTTATTTTGTAGTATTGGGGTTTGGTCTCAGGGCATTATAATTGCTAGGCAGGCAGTCTACCATTTGAGCCATATCACCATCCCAGGTCTCATTAACTTTTTGCCTTCCCTGGATTAGAACTGTGATCCTCCTTATTTCTGCCTACCAAGTAGCTGGTATTGCTACAAGCATGAATCACTCTGCCCAGCCTCTGTTCTTAGCTATTTTTTCATGACTTCTCAGCACTGTCCTAATGAGGAGTGTTCTTAACCATTTTATGAGCTCTAAAATTATATTGTGAAGCATGAATGTGTGGGCTTCATATTTGATTATTTTGAAGAAAATTAGTGGTGTTTGCTAATTTTGTTAAAAATATACTCAGTGTTTAAATTCTTTTTCTAAATTTCCTGAAGACTAGAGATCTTCATAGACTTTTTTGTTTTTGGTGGGACTGTTGGGACTGGTAATACTGGGGTTGGAACTCGGGGCTTTTCACCTCCTGTCCAAGTCTATAAATCTTTAGGTTAAAGAAGTACAGTGAACCCTAAAAGAATAAACAGAGCCAAACCATCCAAAACCAATCACTATATTGTTTAGGAATGGATCATATGTGATAAAAAACCAATAGTAATATATTGAAATTTGGGCTGTTTGCCGTGACGTATACCTGCATTTCTCTCTACTCAGCAGGAAGAAACAGGAGGATCGCAGTTCAAAGCCAGCTCTGGCAAATATTTTCCACAATCCTATATTGAAAATACTCAATGCACAAAAGGTCTGCTGGAGTGTTATGGTTTTTCTTTTTTTAAATATTTTTTATTGAGTACTGTTGTACTGGGTATATGTTGTTACATTTACAAAAGTTTTTTACAATATGTCATAGTTAAATTCATCCCTTCCATCATTTTCCTTTATTTTCTCTCTCTCTATTCCTGGAATAGTTTAACAGGTCTCATGTTTCCATTTTCATACATGAGTACATAATATTTCCATCATATTCACCCTCACAACCCTTTACTAATAATCCTCCCTGCTCCCAATGTAACTAACCCCCAGACAAGACCAGTTTTACTTTCTTGTGTTATGTTTTTTATTAGTTTATTTCTTTGTTTTTGGTGGGACTGGGTCTGTTCTCTTTTTTTGAAAAAAAATGATATTTTTTTTGTTAAGATAGCTCTATAGGGAGTTTCACTGTGACATTTCCGTGTATATATGTATTATAATCCTAATTGTTTCATCCCTTCCTTTTGCCCTTTGTACTTTATTCCCCTTCCATTTTTGATGTATAGAAAATACATCAACCGTATTCACATTCTTAACTTCATTCTTTTAAATGTTCTCCCTCCCATTGGGGACTTCCCGTCAGATTGAGTTGTTTTTCATAATATTCTTTGTATTTTTATTGGGCCTATATTGTACATCTGAGAGAAAACATGCAGTGTTTGGTTTTCAGAACCTGGCTAATTTCACTTAAGATAATCTCCATTTCCATCCATTTCCCTGCAAAGGATAAAATCTCATTCTTTATTGTGGCTGAATAAAATTCCAT